GTACAGCTCTGCAAACTCGCCTAGTTACGTCTGTGCAGTTAAAACTGCCTTTCTGCAGCAACATGCATGGCATCATCGGCCTGAAGTGTAATGTCAAAACCAGCCCACAGTATGGGGAAGAAGAGTTTTGCCTTTCATTGTCCTGCAGAAGTTTCCGCAGTGGCAACACATGTTTACCTTCTTTTTGAATGTCAGGCTAAGAGTCAAAAGCAGGTGGGGTTAACCTATTTTCACGCAAAAGCGGACAAAAGGACATAAAGTGTCAGTTTTATGTTTCTGTTGTGTTTCCGGGTGAAGTTTGCTTTATCCCTGATGCTCAGATCTCTCTTCATGTGCAGGATTTCGGGGCGTTTAATGCCCCTCAAGTGGAGACGAGTGGCTCAACCAAAAGCGGAGCCCACACGGTACATTTTGAAAGATTTTTGTGAAATGATTCATTCACCTGCCAACTGTTCCTTTTGTTTTCCTGAGCTTGCTTTTCTTGCCACGCATCTATCTGCTCATTAAATGTGAATTTGCAAGAGCAAAATATTAGACAAGGTCATCCTCTCCAATTCTGCCAACCCGCACTGGCTTACAGTAACATTACTCCCACAGTGTCCAGGCATAGCACCAGCACATACAGGAAATTGATTTTTCTAAAAGAAAGCAGTCTCTTCCTACTGTCTCCTCCAGTTGATTTGAATAGGAACCAACTAACCATCCACTGTTACCTCATATCAGCCAAGATGTATATTATCTCAGTAATATTTGCGTGGTGCAGGTAAAAACCTGCATCGCCTTGTGTTTTGTAGGAGCAGATCTGTATCCACGCTAAACCCTGATAGCTGGTTCACTTGCCTTAACAGGCTCTTGCACAATGAAAGGGTGAGATTTGTTGGCAAACAACAAAGATGGGTGTGTGCTCTCAGATAGTTAGGGGATTGGTTTGAATAAAAATGTGTTTGTGGAGCAGGACCAGCCCTTAGCGTACGGCAAAACGGAGCTTCTTCTTGATTTCTTCTTCTTTTTGAGTTCTAGTATTAATATCAGACATCTTTTTTATGTCCCATTAGACCCCAGTGTTTATTTTCTTTTTCTCTCCACAACATGCAGTTTATCTGTTTCGGTGGGAGTAATTATTCTCCACAGACTGTTACTGCAACACCCCTGTTGCATTTAACTGTTTTCAGTAATAACAGCCCCTGAGCCGGAGATCCCTGCATAATCAAAAGCTTCACTGTATGGCGAGCCCACAAACGGTTAAAAGATTTGTTGTTGGCACATCCAGAGCAGGCAGCCGTCAGCGGTGGGAGGAGGCCCTCTCTGTCTCCAGCTAGATTGGCTGCCATCTCTCGTGTTTTGTTTTGGTATGGGCACAGCAAAGAGAGAAGGATTTCTCCATCTGTTTACACGATATCGACCTTGCAAAGGCACACTCATAAGCACAGAAGGCCCAACTGAAAAATATTGTTACTGCAGTTTTAAGTAAGAGGAGTGCTGATCGTCTGATAGTGGATGTTATGGTGTCCTTACTGATTTGTCATATCACGTGGCGCTCCTCCGAACTGCATACCATGGCAACATAACAGAAAGACAGGTTTTGCACGATAAGGCACAGTTCTTTGTAGAAAAACAAATATCTATGCGCTCATGCATCACTTGTTTTTTTTCCCTGGTTGTTAGAATGTGTACTGATCAGTATTTTTAGTCTTTATAGTGTCTTTTACCACAACTGTAGTGTGATTGCACATGTGCCTTATTGCAGCTTGCATATGAAACTTCTCATACTGCTCTTTAGGAGACACCATTAACTGTCACAAAGCGACCAACTATACAAAACTTGTTTTTTTGTTTTTTTTAAAAAGGAGAAGTGACCAAAGAAGTGCAATCAGCAGCTGTCATTTCACAATAAATCTCTTCACTACTTTTGCTTTTTTCAGTACAGCCCCTTGCTTTGCACTGCACTTGCTGTCTCTCATAACAGTGGCTACACGCTTAAACGTAAACCATGCAATTGCAAATGTGCATAAATAAATAAATCTGCTTTCTTATTATCTCTCAGGGAGAGCGACTCATTCGTTCAGCCAGCCCCATCAAAGGAGGTTCTGCCAAGAGCCCGGACGTCACCACACTGCCTCCGTGTCCCCAGTCTGCTCCAGTTCAATCAAAGCCAAATTCAAGTTCTCCCAAAAGTATCTTCCCTTATCCCTCCCATCAGAACTCCCCTAAGTCCCCTCGTCGACTGAGCTTCAGCGGTATCTTCCGGTCGTCCGGTTCTCCCTCTTCGAGCATCAAACTCTTTTCCAGAACCAGGAGAGGTAAGTAGAAATGCAAACACTGCACTGCCTGCAACCTGCTTGTTGCACTGCAGTGTTCATGAATCCATTGTTGGAATCTTTGTTTTAATAGTTTTAAGAATGCATGGAAGAAACTTGTGCAAATATTTGAAGTCCTCTTTTAAAGCAGAGTTCTAAGAGGAAGACGCTTGTAAAGGAAGTAAGACACAATAGATGAAACTGTCATTTCAAAGATTATTTGGTTTTCCTGCTGTACGTACATGAGGTAAAAACCCCCACACAGGAACCAAGGCGTCTGCATTTTCAGTTCATCAGTTCAGATATCAGATATCTGACAATGTCGGTTCACCTCAGGACAAAGTTCAATCAGGTGAGGTGCAGAGAACAATATTTATTTTGTCACACCAGAGAACGGCACACAAAACGGTGTGCTCCTTTTGATACCCGACTGGTTTCAGAGAACCTTTAATTCTCACAATTGCAGATCTAGTCTCTCTCCTATAGATAAATAAGAAATAAACCAAAATAACAAGAAATTTAAAAAGAAAAACACCTGTATAAATTAGACACTCATTCACCGAACCACTCCCACTACCCCTCCCTGTATCTCCTTTTATCAGCTTCCATATTTTGTAGCAATAAGGAAGTGGAGTTTTTGGTTTTCTCTGAGTAGAAAGAGAAAAAGTAACTTCTTTGTTTTGTGCTGCTCTGCAGCCAACAAGGTCACAAGTCTTGTCAGACAGATGGCCGTCGCTTGAGTGCAGACAGACATTCTTCATAATCTCCTCTCAGATGTTAACAACTTTCTCTAGGAAAAGGAAATGGTTGGCTTTGTTTATTATCAGAATTAAGTTATCATCTCTCGCCCCCCCCCACCAGCATTAAGCCGTGCAGGCAGTTTGTTATTAGGTTTCAAGCTCGGCATCCTTGGAGTTTGGAGTCCAGCCACAGTACGCGCATTAAAAAACTCACGAGCTGCATAATGGTAATACTGGTATGCACAAATTAGTAGAAATGAGACTGGGCAGAACAAGGTCTCATTTTATGAAGACCAGATTTAACTGGCACGTCTTTAGCTCTTGTGTCTCCATTTTTTTTGGTAGTTGGTCATTACATAAATTTAAAAAAAAACAAAAAAACCCACCCTGCCTACATGGAAACAGCCCTGTTGGAAGCAAGCATCAAACAGCTAAAAGGATGAGTCATTGATTTTTTGGCTTGTGCAAGTACCCATTCTTCTCTGTTTCCTCGCAAAGGGTCAGTTTGGCAGAGCTGCTGGAATAGCTCTGTTAGAGCCCAGACTGTAAAAGCCAGTGTGCTCAGTTTCCTCTGGAGATTGTTATGGATAGTAACGGGGACCAAAACACACCCCAACTGCTCCATCCCTCCCATCCCAGTTGCTGGTGATTAGTAGTGTAAGATGTGGTCTGAGGCAAAACACGCTTCCTGCTCACTAATGATGTGGCTTTAGATTATTGGTGACTAATAGTGACAGAGTATTTATAACTAAATATAAAGTCACTGAGTGGGCACTTGATCTGTTCACTTTTTTTTTGGAGTCAGATGTTTTTGTAGTAACCCCAGTTTTGCCACAAGGGTGCACTGAAGGCCTAGTTTGTCTTGATTTGACTTTCAAACTAGTTCTAATGAACCTTTGTAGTCACCTCTTTTATTAACATATTTGCAAGGAAACGAGTATTTTTGCAGACGTTTGTGTGGTCTCGATCATTTACATATATCATTCATCAGGATCCAGGTTTTCATGTTTAGGTGCACTTGCTGCAAATATGACTAGAATGCTTCCTCTTTCCCCGCTGGTCTAAATATGTGTTTTCACGTCGCCTGGACATTGTCAGTCTCTCGCTGCTCAAGGCAAGTGTAGCGCTTTCATAGCCTTATCTGGAAGTGACCAGACTCTCAGGAGCTCCTCACACAGCCATGCAGAGGTTTTTTTTTTCCACCCCTCTCACTCTCTCTGTTGCTACTGTGGGCTGCTTGTTGTCGGTAAATAAAGGAAGTAGGGAGTTTCTAAATTCATAAAATGCAGGCCTTACAAGGGCACAATGACTTTATAAAGTCACAGATGAGATCAAAGGACTTTAAGTGCTTTATGGCTTTCACACTTAACTAGCTTCAAACTGGCTTGAAATGAGTGATTTTCTCTCGGTTTCTCAGTGGAATGACAGCTTTAGTGGCTTTATTCAGTGGCTGTTAGGTGATAATCACTGATATCTGAAATTCATATCAGCCATTGACCCACTGAGCAGATTGGAACACTTGCATAACATGTTAATTGAGATCTGTGCTGGGCATGCTTCAGCTAATGTGGGCAGCAAAGAGGCGGCCATCTGTTAAGGGTAGGAGAGGGTATTGAATGGAAGCTTTCTGATCAGCTGACAGAACATGGGATGTCCCCCTGCTGTCATCTGATGGGGGCAGGCCTCAGCAATCTTAAATGTCAGGCACCCGAAAATTACAACTGCCTCCACAAATGCCAGTGGTGCGTATCCTCCAGCTCTTTGGTGATGTCGAACTGCAGATTTAGAAGAATTTTAAATGAAGGAGACGTTTATGCAAGGGAACCTTGAGGTTGCGTTATCCCCACTCTCTGTTACATTGTGTTAAGACGGAGTGAAACAGATGTTCCTGTGCTGAATTTACTCTGCGAGCAGAGGGAGGGCAGTGGCAGACAGGAGGCGGGGAGATGTGCAGCTTGAGCCAATCGGTGGGGTTTCCTTTCCAGACTGGCCTCCTTTTACAGGCTGCTGACACCAGTGCTATATTAAAGTAACATCACCCACAGCTGCACCTGACAAGTCACAGCACTGACACTCCTGAGAGCAGGGGGAAATGCGCTGAAGTCTGGCCACACTTGCAATTTGCATCACTCGCAAATGGGAACATTTCTTTGCTGAGGCTCGGTGGAATTCACAGCTTTTCTACTCTCTTCTATCGAGTGTTAGACCTGCTTGCTGCTGGCTCTGTGGTTTGTAGAGTAGCTTGTACTCAGCACCCGCTGTGATTGTCTGTTTCTGTTCAGAACTAGAGAGGTACCTCCAAAAAAACAAATGCAATGTGGAACTTGACAGAACAGCTGAGGTTTGTTTTTCTCGCATAGTTATATTTTTTACCCTCTCACTGAAGGCATCCAGCTTCCAGAGGACCAACTCCTCCCTAAAAGACACCTTCAAACACAGGCGGCTGGATTTTTTTTTTTTTTTTTTTTTTAACCTTTACGATTTTGTTTATCTAGCAAATGGAGTGACTCTTACCTGGGGCAGTTTATGGGGCTCTTTTTGTGATGCGGATGGTCATGGTCAAATTTAGCTTAGAGCCCACCACCCACTGTGTTCCATGAAGAGGTTTGGCAGCTTGAGGAGAAGCAAGAAACGGAAGGAGCAAGATGGGCTAGGCGGGAGGCATCAGTCCGAGGCGTCCTACCTGTCTGGTAATGTGTAGAAAGACATTCAAAACAATTTCCTCTAACATTTAATTTGCTTATTATTTAGTAATTTAAAGTCAGAAAATAGTGAAAAAGAACCATTAGGATTTTTGCTGGCCAACAGCCCAAAACCCAAACCCATAACCTCATAAATGAGATACTGCAGTAAAGAGCGCTCCTGTGTATAAATATGGCTATCAGCAGGGTGATGTGATATGAAAGTAGTAGTTTAACCTCATTGTCAGGCTAAAATGGTAAATCAGTGCTGGACAAACAGAGCTGTGCTCATTACCTCAGAATATTGGCTCCTGGGTAGCTTTGCCCTAAAATGTTGTATAAATTCCTTTTTCATGGATTTTGTCCATGCTATCAACTTACAACTTTAAATGCATGAATAAATGTCTCAATAAATATACTTAACATTGACCGTTCAGGTTATTCTCGTCATAGCAAATTATATTAAATAAGAGCAGCTTTCTTTTTTTCTTAGTCTATATATGTATGTGTGGTTATTAAGTGTAATTTCATGTGGCCATTAGAGCTTCTTTTAGTGGCTGGTTTCATGGCTGATCTCTGGTTTCACAAAAGCATACCATGCATTCGTGCTAAATAACTGGACACAGGTCAGTGGTGCTAAAGTTATGCAGGAGGGTCTGACGTGGAGTCAGCACTTAGTGATCGCTTGGCTAAATTCATATACATGCACGTACTGCATTGTGCTTGATTCACACTGTCTGTCTTTGCTAATTTAGCGATTAAGGTGTGTGTTTTAGTTGTTTCATGTCTTAAAGGAGACCCATTATACTCATGTCCATGAACTCTACTAAAGTATGTCTGCAAAACGTAGTGTTTAAAACGTGTCTTATTTCCCTTTAGCTAGCAATGTGAAGTCTCTCGGTTTCATTCACTACCTATGTTCATCTTCCCTTTAAACCAGCTTGGTTCTCATTGGCTACACTGCAAAACAGAAGATTACATCAGCAGGTCGGTGGGTCTTTTGTGCTCACTGCCAAAATCTGTGTACAGATTAAAGAGGAGAAAAAACTTTAAATAATAAGGAAGTCTGCTTTAAGATGAAAATGCAAAAGTTATATGTATTTATTTTATTGTGATCCTGTCATTATGTCATAACGAAGCAATTTATAGGCACTCAGCCTGATGTAGCATCGCTTCATTGTCCTTATTTCTGTCCCATTTCCAAAGGGAGTTCAGAGTAGCTGCTCCATTTGGAGTGTTTCATTAAAATAGTCAGGAAGTATTTCAGCTTAAAGCTTAAGCAGAGATAATCAGAACACACCGAGCTGAATCGTTTAACACATCTCCTTACATGTGGGTGAATCATTTACATTTATGTACATCATTCAGGTTTTCACGATTGAACGCAAGCCGTGGAAAACGAGAAGTAATAGAGATGCCAAACGAAAATACCAGATCACCATTGGAGATGTAATGCAGTTTTTGTGATGTGTTTAGTTCGTGTTAGTAAAGCACTGAGGGTCATTTTTGTGGTGTTCAAGTGGCGCTTTATCGCAAACTTCACAGCTCCTGATTTAGAGCCAGTCTGACCTCGGCTGAGTAGACGAGAGGAGCAGAGTCCTCTGTCGTAATGACTCATGTCCATATGTGGCTGTATGAAGTTCACTGTGGGCACTGTGGGCCTCAGCCTGACCCATAGGTCCTTTGACGCCGAGCATCTACACTGCGTAAACCATGTCGCTTATATTAGTCACCGCACCCTTAAGGAGGTAGACACCTGCGTGTAAAAATTCTTGTCAGAGCCAATTAGATACCAGTTTGCTACTCGGTAATGCTGTGTACATGAGTTTCTACTGTCAGTAGTACACTTGAGATTTTGCTAACCTATCGAAGACCCCAATTGTCAAATTCTTCTTGTTCCTAGAAAATTATTTAAACCCTCATGGGTGATTGGTGTCATGACTGCAAATCCCTACCATCTCTACAAGCTACACCTTATACTTTTACTTGTCTAAAGGCTGCAGAGCCATGTTGTTTTTTGGAATAAAACTGTTCTTCAAGAACTGAACTCTCTATCAGTTAGTCTGATAACTGAGTTGACAGGCTGACAAGAGGTTAAAAATCAGAAAATAGTGAAAAATGTCATCGGGATTTTATAAATCACAAGAATATGGCTTTGCATTTCTCTTTTTCGTCTGACTTGCAAACCCAAAACTGTTAAATTTATTATGATATAAAACAAACAAAGAGCATATTCGCATAATTCAGATGCTGGAACGAAATCCTGTTTGGTATTTGTGCTTGAAAATACACTAATCAACAAATTAGGGTGTTACTGTGATAAGGAATTGGTACTTTCATTATCAGGTTAAAGAGAGATGATAAATTACTGCTGCTTTTATCTCCCTGCACACATAGATTTTCACTTTTAGATGTAATAATAAAAAGAAAAACCTGTTAGATGGACTGCTTGCAGCAAGGCATCCATTTCCTGTTTCCTGGGTTTGGGCTAGCTGCCCCTTATTAACTGGGCTAAAGAGAAGGCTCCCAACCCCGCTGTTATCTGCTCCTGTGGAATGTGCCACAACAGCGTGGCTAAAATAAGAAGGCTACACAGCGGAAGCAGGGCACACCAGAGAGGCCACGCCAACTAAATGTCAAGAGATAGTGTGGAGTGCGCTTGGACAGGCCGAGCAAAAATGTTTGCTTGAAACACTGAGCCTCCTTTAAGAAAAGATATCTTATAACTTGAGTTAATCATTACCAGTATTAGTTTTTGATTATGAGGCATGTAATTACTGTTTTTTTTGTTTTGTTTTTTTAACAGGTAAAGTAACAAATCCACACCGACGCCAATACACAGACTTTAAAGCTGACTTATTTGGAAATACAGCTTACTAAGTTTACAGTGGTCATGCTTTATTTCCTAGAAATATTTAAATATAAATACTGACTAATGCTGATGCTTGCTTGAGACCGACTGTCAGTAATAACTGTTCTGGATGTCCCGTGCTGTAGGCCTTGTAATCTGAACCGTTTGCTCCACATCATGCATGTCACTCATTGTCTGGCCTCAGAAATATGTCACTGGGATGAGGCCAGTGCAGCGTGAGTGTCGCATGTCACCCTGCGTAAGATCGTGGGCGCCTGATGTGAAAAGCGTGTGTGGTGGCTGTCATGTGACACACACCTACAAGCTGACACTTCACCGGGAGGAGCTGCGTCACGGACAGCTGACTCTCACAGTGGAGTTATGTTTAATGTGGCTGCTTATGTTGTAATCGGCGTGGTTATGCTCGAGGGACACAAAGAACAAAAGAAAGACCTTCTTTTCTCCAGTTACACTCCTGACACTTTATTAGGTACATCACGCAAATACTAAGCTGGCCCTCTTTTTTTTTTTTTGTCTTCAAAACTAATCCAAGAAAATATTTTGGTTCATATTAACATGATAGCGCCACCGAGTTGGTCCTGTCATTCCACCGCACCCCGAAGGTGCTTCATCAGATTGAGATCTAGTGACTGTGGAGGCCGTTTGAGTACAGTGAACTCATTGTCATGTTCAAGAAAACAGTTTAAGATGATCTGAGCTTCGTGACATGGTGCGTTATCCTGATAGAAGCAGTCTTCAGAAGATGGGTACACTATAGCTGTAAAGGGATGACCATAGACCTGCTGTTTTCAGCAGTCAGCAGCTGTCAGGTCTCTGCAGTCATGTTGAAGAACATGTCACAGGTTTAATTACAGTTTAGATTCGGTGGTTATAGAGACACAGCCACTTAATTAATGAACTTGAATATACCTCATGAAAGTCTATGACTTATGAGTCAGTATCATTTATATTTAAAGTGTGGCGTAAACATAGGAGTAAAGAAAATTACATTTTCAGTGTACGTGAACAAAAATCGTATTAAAATAGCATTAAATAGCTTTCAAATCCATTTTTATTCTACTTCTGCTTGTGTTTTAATCTGATTAGTTTCAGACATTCACATTTAATTATAACGACATGCATCAAATTCAGCGTTAATGAGTTTCCAATCCAAAGATGAGTAACAGGAGCTCAGCTTTTGGACTCAGGATTCAAGCCTGATTCCCTCTCAGCACAGCAGACCTGGAGTGTGTCTGACTTAAAGTGAGGACGGGGAAATGTTAACACCAAATACCAAGACACTAACCAGGCTGAGTTTCAGATGGACTAACAAAAACAAAAGACTTTATGCACCCGCACAGGTGTTTCCACTTCTTGCTAATTAGACTTCAGCTAGACTGTAATTACATCCCACACAGTCCCGAGAGGACGTCTAACACGACGGAAGAAGTGAAACCCACAAACACCACCGTGGTCTTTTGTTTGTTTGTAAATGGATAATTCAGGCATTTCTATCTTAGTACCATCCATTTTCTTCTAATTCAGGGACTTGGGATGGGATCTGCAGCCTATCTCAGCAATCAGAGGTGGGGTACACCCTGGACAGGTTGTACACACACGGACAAACCCCACTAAGTGCATATCTTTGGACTGTGGGTGAAGACAAAGAATGTACAAACTCCACACAGATGATGGATTTGAACCCAGGACCTTCCTATTATGAGGCAACAGTGCTAACCATACAATTTAAATGTTTTATGGTTATAATATTTACAATGATGAATAGTGTTTTCTTTTTTCCCCCCACTGTGACCCACATTAGATCAACTGGTATTTAAATTGTGCTTTTCTAGTCTTAGTGACCACTCAAAGTGCTTTAGGCTACCAGTCATATTAAACCATATATTCATACTTTCAGCGCTTCAGCTTCCTCGCATCCATGGCCTATATAGAGTCTTTGGCCTGTGGGAAGAAGCTTGATTATTTGTAGGACGTGTATGCACAGGGAGAACATGGAGACTACTGCTCCACCATGCCACCCAGCGGGTGCAGAAACTCTTTTAAGCTTTTCTAGTTCAGTTACTCTTTATTTGATGTCATTGCTGCTTTTCAGGCATAAACTTGAAGATTTGCAGTTGAATCAGTGTCATATTTTTGTTTAATCTTCAACATGCTCCCACTTGTCTATTAAAGCTTGAATATGTTGCTAATTTCATGACTGAAGTCGATTTTACAGCTGTCTTTGAAATGTTGATTTTCTAGTGCTGTGTATCCCTGTGTAAAAAAAACAGGGCCACTAAAGCTTTATCTCAGTATCTGTGTTATTTCTCAGCTCATGGAAATCTCCTAGTTCAGATCGCTTTTGCTCCTCCGTTTATTGCCTATGCAGATGCCGTCAACGCTGTGTTGACGGCATCTGCAGCAGCCACCACTGTAGCACCTCCTTCTCCAGCAGCAATGCTTATCATAGACGTCAATCAGCGCTGCGTCTCGGTGTTGCTGAAAGTGCGGTATGGATTGACATCCAGAGAAACAAGAGATAAGCTGAGATATCTATTTTGGACTCTGTATCTCTCTTCAGCCTCTGGACTCTCTACACCACCCCACACCCCAACCCAGGCATCCAGCCAACCAGTGTTCACCCAGGAGGCCCAGCAGAGCGGCCCCAGCCCTGAACGCCCGGAGCAAAGCTCTCGCTCTCGTTCCCTTTCCACACCTCCGGACACAGGACAGCGCCTCAGCCTCCCTTCTGCTAAACCCCCAATCCCTTCATCGAGCCCCGTGCCACCTTATTCTACCTCACAACAAGTGAGTCAAAAAAGATAAAAAATCTATTTTAAGAATTTATCTTTGACCCAGGGCAATTCAGCCAATGCCTGTGAGCTTTAACTCTTAAAAGAGTGGAAGTTAGAGTGAGTCTTTCAGATGGTTTGCTGCACATTCCTGCACCAAAATAAACAAAACATAAGCCAGACTTCATGTACAGCATCTCAAAACTCCAGATACAGATCAATGATGCTATAACTATGCAAGGTGGAAGTTTTTGGAGAGAGCGCTACAAGTTCACAGGCATTGACTGAACTGTCTCAGGGATCAGGAATTAACTGCATGAAATATGTGTGTTTAGGTCAACAACAAGGCTACTGAGCCATATCCTCCTTCCTTGCAGGTAAACTAATTTTTGCACCGGTTCAGTGTTGGCAACAAAAAAAGACTCCATGGGAAGCTGATAACTATTTTTTTCCCTTTGTGCCTGAATAACAGTGGCTTGCATGTCTCCCATCTATGAGTCATGTGCTTTGTTTACTCAGAGTCATGAGTTTATCTGCAAAGTGGTGTACAGAAGGCAGAGATGCAAATCCTTTTAATTCAGGTTCGCTTTTCCTCAAGCCTTGCTCTTGCGTCAGCAGGACTTTGTTTGTACCATAAGCTCTGAGCTGCTCTAGCTGCAGAGGAGAGGGTGTAAACATTGTCTTGACATAACTCAAACAGCTTTCAGTGTCAGCTAAGCCGCTGCATAATTGACTGTAACCGGAAAAACAGCTGAGAACAAGTTCAGTCTTTGTCACAAGACTTTTCACTGAAGGTTTATTTGGATTCTGACAGCCTGTGTCTGGATTTTATACCAGATTTCTTTGAGCTAGAGAGGAATTACTCCATCGCTCACTGTGCTGCTTTAATGAATAATTATCCGAAGACCCGTCTACTTTGAGTGATTGTGGATTCTGTGGAACGATGGTAAATCAATATTTCATCACCAGTGTTGTATACGGTTGGTATTAACACCCAGGGACACACGATTGTGGTTGGAGGGCGATGAGCCGGTGCGGGTCAGCTCCTCTGCACTTCCTCTGTCATACCTTAAGGGAGACTTGGAAAATAAACTGAAGTTGTTGCAGTTTACATTTTGGCCAGAAGTGATTAAATTCATAGATCCGCGCTTGTCTGCTTCTCCGTAGTTCTCCTTTATCCCAAAAGCGGTGCCTACTGCGATGCCGCAACCAGAGATTTATGAAAGTGCAGGGGTAGTTCTTTTTTTTTTTTTTTTTTTTTTTTGGACAAGAGAAGCGCTGTGTCACCGTTGCAGGGCAACACCAGGGGGGGAAGGGGGTGGGGGCTGTTGAACATCCACGAGTAGGCATGCGGATGCTCTCCCGTTGTGCTGCAGTGGCTTCTTGTGAATATGTGCTTGCAAATTAGGAGCCAGGGGAAATCGGGTATCAACAAGCGCACTTTGAGTATGCAAATATCTCAGCATGACACAGCATATTTTCGGCTGGCTACTGCACTGTGCTGTCAGGGAGAGGGAGTCAGCACAATCTGCATGCCATATTCTCGGGCTCCTACTACAAGGACCCCAAAGAGTTGCTTTAGTTCAGCCATGTGTCTCGTTATGTCTGAAGAAATTATCTCTGTGGATGCGACAAAGGAATCCCCAGCTTCTTGCTGCTAAGCAACACAAGGGATTTCCTTATATGGCGAAGCACCCAGGTTGCGCTGCACGGAGGGGTGTGTCCTGAGCGCACGGTGCTTCCTGCTTTCTATCTGTACCCCCGCCGACTCCCCCCCACACTCTTCGTGCCAGCGACTGTTATTGTGGTGAGTTTAGCAGATTGAGGCTTTAACAATGAATTGAGCCGATTCGTTGCAGCTGGATTACTGCTCACGCGTCTGTGCAGTGGCTGTATGAGCAGCGTTGGTTTCCTCCGCTGCAGCAAATGGATCAGGACTGTTCCACTGCGAGTTTTTAAGGGGGTGTGTGCGTGTGTGAGAAGTCTAATATTGTGCCGCTAAAGTTGTACCTCCTCTGCGCGAGGGTTCTTATCGCGTTACCTGCGTATATTTAGCGGACCTGTTGTAGGTTTACGTAATCGGTACAGCGACAGGATCGCACGTTGCGGTTTAGTAGTTTTGGTTGTTTTGCGCACCGCGTTCGGTGCGATCACAGTCTCCTGGGGCCGCTGGGGAAAAAGTCGGCGTCGCTGCTGCGCTCTCACAATTTACAGCAAAGTTTTTGTGTGTGTGCTGTGGGGACTTGCTGTGGGGACTTGCTGCGCTCTTCACGGCGAACTTGTGCCTTTGCTCTCTCCTAGGTCTACAGTTTATTCGAAGGCATGCTGGAGAAACTTGATCTAGACGATGATGGTAAGTTACCAATTGCAATATTTGCTGATCTAGTGCTCACCTTTTCCTGTGTGTGTGTTTGTGCGCGTGTGTGTGTGTTTGTGCGCGTGTGCGCGCTATCTTCACCTCAATCAGTCCTGGCTCGGTATAATGAGGGTGAAGATGATCAAGACGTGTTGCCAGATTCAGGTGAATGTACCACGTTTAAAAAATAAAAAAAAAAATAAAAAAAACTGCCCCCCCGTTCGCAGTGCGCTGTGTGCGGCGCGTGTGTAGACCTGTTCACAGAGGGTCAGCTATTCATCCGAATTGTGTCAGTACCACCCTGCTGATTGCCCCCACAGACTGCTTTCTACCGGTGTGCTCTCAAAACGCGTGTGTGTGTGTGTGTGTGTGTGTGTTTGCGTTATTTGCCTCCCGTCTCCTTGTCGTCACTGTTTTAAATGCTGAGTGTTGCGGCAGGGTTGACGAATCAATGCGCATACATTTGCCCAAGAGACCATATTATAACCAATACAGACTGCTGGGTGCCAATGTATTGGGGTAATCAAAGGAGAGACACACACACACACACACACACACACACACACACACACACACACACACACACACTCTTCACAGCATGTAGGGGAGGGTTTTAATTGGTGTGCTAACTATGTCATCTCCTTGAAATATAAAACGAATATTTATCGAAATGTTAATGAAAGCTCCTAAACAAACTTAAAATAAAATAAAGACATTTAAATTGACCTTAAGCAACTGAAATAATTTCCACGATTTTACACGATGCATTAAATCACTTATGAGCTTTTACTTGAACCTATCTGTGAATTTTCTGTCACGGCAACATGTTGCAAGGATGTTATCTCCTGCAGTACTTTCCTGTCCATGTTTTCCCACTGTTTGTGTACTTCTATGTTTAAAGCGTAATTATCTCTAAGATGGAGCACTAAAGTGGCTGTAAGTGGTTCAGTCCCGTAATGGTTAGTGTGTGTGGTGTTGTTTCCAAGCTCTCGTTTTATACTCCCTGTGAGATTTCCCCCTTCCTCTGTACGGAAATTAAAATATTACTTCTGTAGTTATCTTCTAAATATTTACTATTAGCTGACAGTGCTGGAGGAGGTTTTAAAACCGTTAGCTCTAAAACCCAATGAAAGCACCTCATTACAAATAAAATCATATCACTGGCAAATTGTGATTAAAAATTTTAAAAAAAATTGTTCTGCAGAAAAAGTTCCCCGTGAGTGTTATATGGATATTTTAAATACTGTAGATTAATTTGAACACAAAGTAACTTATAGTCTGTAGAATCACATGTTTGTAATGTAGCTGTACTGTAGGACCACAAATCTTGAAATAACTGGTTCAGAAACACAGACATGCCTCCTGGTATTGAGTTCAGAGTCTGAAGACTCTCCCAAGTGACGTAGGACAAAATAAAGGATGCACTCTGAACAGGTCAGCAGTCTGTTGCAGAGTACATTAAATATATATTTTTTTTTAAAAATGAAGGTGATGTCTTAGCTAAATATCTGGTTAAACTTTATTTGGTCCCCCCCCCAACTGATATTATACTGAAGGTGGTGGTGGTATCTGCACCACCAGACATTGTAAGAGCTGACGTTTGGTCTCCATTATCAGGACTTTCTTTAATAAGGTGCTAAATGAGTTATTAAAGACTATTTTGACCTCCTCTAGATTACACATGTTGACCCTGTTGGTTAGTAAGAGAAAACTTGTATTACGCTGATGAATCAGAGAAACCGTTTACTTGGGGTTGCTAGCTCTGTTTCTACACAAAATACAGCACCCTATGCAGAGCCAGCTTGCCTGAGATTTATCCACAATGTGCAAGTGCAGACAACTAGAAGCAGCTGTTGGTCTCCGAGCTTGACAAGCTCAGTCCATTTTTAACAGGACACGAAATAACTATGAAATCTAGACGCAACAGTTTTCAGTGAAACCAGATGTAAGCGGAGTTGCGCCTGTTTCCAGAGACAATTGTGGCCACAAGATGGCGCTAATGTAAAGGATGGATGTAAACTGGCACGTGAGCAGCTTTATGACAGAATGTTGTATTGATATGAAAGGAGAGATTGCTTTCACTTTACTATGTTTTAAATGATGCCAATTTTTAGATTTTACTAAACGAGCACAGCTTGCTTTGCTTTTTTGATAGAATGACACTGGTCTGGAAGTGTTTTCACACTGGTTTTATTTATTTTTTGTTTTGTTTCGCAGCTGCTGAACCCGAGAGTGATATTTACATGCGCTTTATGAAATCCCACAAGTGCTATGACATCGTCCCCACAAGCTCCAAGTTGGTTGTGTTTGACACAGCACTCCAAGTAAGCACAATAATATGCTCTGTCCTTTTGACTGCAGACAAAGCTGTTATGACTTTTTGTTGTTGTTGTTGTTGTTGTTGTTTGGTTTAAAAACCGAAGCAGGCACTCAGGCTAAGTTAATGTTCAATAAACTAAGCTGAAGTATTTTACCTCTCAGCAGTTTCTGTGAAGTGGCTGATCAAACTGTCATAAAGCTGTTAAACACTAATCCTCGAAAGTCTTTGATGCGTAGATCTTTAACTACTAAATGCACTAAGGTAATGGGTTAATAATCCTTATCTAAAACCAAGGAAAACTAATGTCATTGAGAGGTACACTACACAAGAGATTTTGAGTACTGTTCTACTTAACATGACAATAAGACTGCAATTCAGGATTAATTTTCATGTATCTAATCTAGTCTGTGAAATACTTGGATAGCTCTTCATGTCATATTAAAATGTTGTGGTTTTGACAAAAAACACTACAAGACCTAAAAGAAAACCTATACACTTCATTAGGTACACCTGTTCAACGATTAATGCAAATATCTAATCACTCAATCATATGCCAGCATCTCAGTGCGTTTAGGTATATAGACATGATCAAGGTGACCTGTTGAAGTTATGCATCAGAAAGGGGAAGACGGATGACTTTAATGACTCTGAAGGTGACATGGTGGTTGGTGACAGATGAACTGGTCTGAGTATTTCAGAAGCTGATCTCCTGGAATTTTCCCACACAACAGTCTCTAGAGTTTAGAGAGACTGGTCTGGAAAAAAATAAAATATCCAATGAGAAGCAGTTCTCTGGGTCAAAATGGCTTATTCATGTCAGGTCAGAGGAAAATGGGCAGACTGCTTTAAGCTGATAGAGAAGGTAACAAAAATAACCACTCGCTACGTAAAATGTAAGAAAAGCATCTCTGAGCACCACGGGTTGAACCTTGAAGCAGAATGCCACACCAGGTGCCTGTTGGATAAGAACAGAGGCTAAAATGTGTGTGGGATCACCAAAACTCGACAGTAGATGGGGAAAAATGTTGTCTGGTCTGATGAGCCTTATTTTCTGCTGCAAAATTACAATTCTAGTATCAAAGTGTGGCGTAAACAAGATGAAGTTCAGGCTGCTGTGGTGTAATGGTCTGGAGACATTTTCTTGGCACACTTTAAGCCCCTCAGTAACAATTGAGTGCTTAAACAACACAGAGTACCTGATTATTATTGCTGACCATGTCCATCTTTATGGTCATCTTTATGACCACAGTGTACCATCTTCTATTACCTGCTTCCAGCATCATGTCACAAAACTCAAATTATCTCAAAACTTGTATCTTGAACTTGATTGTTCAAGAAACGCGTTCACTGCATTCAAGTAGCCTCTACAGTCACCATATTTCAGTCAAGCCGAGCACCTTTGAGATGTGGTGGAACAGGAGATTTACATCGTAGATGTGCAGCTGACAAAATTACTGGGCAATGTTTCCAGCAGATCCAACCCAGTACTATGAAGGTGTAACTAATAAAATAGCCGGTAAAGGTGTATCGGTTTATGATAGGCGTTAACTCCTAAGAGTTCACAGAATAATAAACAGAACAGTCACCACCTGCAATCAATTCAACGTTTCTTTGGCAGGTTAAGAAAGCCTTTTTTGCCCTGGTAGCCAACGGTGTGCGGGCTGCTCCACTATGGGACACAGAGAAGCAAAGCTTTGTGGGTAAGAAACTTGACAAATACCCCTTTCTTATTGTTCACTAAATAAAATACAGTTTATTGAAGGACCTGCTATTTTTATTTGGGGTTTTTTTTTTTTTTTTTTTGACATTTAAAAAGCTTCCCCATCAAAGATGCAGTCAATTGTGGTCTGTATTCGACTTTTACACATTTTACCGTGTGAGTATAAGTTCAAGAGTTTAAGTTCTTGTAATAGAGTTGTATAATAAGCTATAAAATGCAGAAGAAATCCTGTATTAAGAATTTAGATGAGAAAAAGAAAATGAGAAAAACATCTCTGTAAACTTCTGTCACTACAGTGGTGTCAAAAGGCAGAGCAGAGGTGAATTGGATTTGCTGTGCTTTACTGAAACGACTTGTGATGAATAATGAATGCAGAGTCAGTGTGAGAATAAAGCTGTGGTGTGCTGTTTAGACCACGCCCTTATAAGCGCTGTCTCTACCCAGCTGCACGCAGGCTTGGCTCTGTGTTGTTATTCATTATTTCAATGTGATTTTTTTTTTAATGCCTGTTTTCATTGCAGGAATGCTGACAATCACAGATTTCATCATCATACTACACAGATACTATAAGTCACCGATGGTAGGTGCAGGTCACAGCTAAGGCGTGTGAGATTTACCCCTCGTTCCACCAAGACGTACAGTTTTCTTTTGGTTCTCTTTCAGGTGCAAATTTATGAACTAGAGGAACATAAGCTCGAGACGTGGAGAGGTAAGTGCTTGTTCTCCTGTGGTGCATGGATATTGTAAGGGTTTCTTTCATTTTTACCAAAAAAAGAAAAGTGTGAAAATGAATAAATACCTGACTTGGACTGAGGCTGAAGGAATGCTGTTTGTCTGTTTGGGAGTGTGGAAAGGATTAAAAAAGAAAAGTCAGTGTGATACACGAGAAAATTCCACCTGACCCAAAACTATTTGTACTTGTTTGTATCCAATGACACGCTGATAATAAAAATGAAACCCCATTAGACCAAATGATTCCTTAATGGATAAGACAAATGATGTCAAACTTTCCACTAGAAAGAATAACATACAGTCATGTGAATGCAAAGGTTTTCACAGGACTCTGTGCAGTCATGTGGAAAAACTAAGTACACCCTTACTGTGTACACAGGAATTAAGAGTAGCAGCTGGGTGCTGATAATGAAATGCTCTTTATTAATTGATGATCAGTAATTTTGATCACCTCTGTAAAAGCAGATTTGCTTTTACTGGTCTGGAGCATTCAGGTGTGTGTTAAAACAGTGCTACATTGGCCCATTGGCAAAATGTCCCCAAGGTCAGACTGCACAGTGCTCAGAGAAACTGCCAAAAACCAGGCACTCAGACTCGGGTTTTTGAGAACTCTGCGAGCCTCGAGTAGCATGTTAAAGTTCATCACGGTACAATTAGAAAATGACTGAACACTTATTACTTGTTTGGAAGGGTTGCCAGAAGTCACGCATGAAGGCCAGCGGTCCAACAGCTAAAGCTGGGTCATGCAACAGGAAGTGTTCCCAAACACAGCCGCAAATCTGCAACAGAATGTCTGAAAAAGTGCAAGAATAAAGGTGTTGCAATGATTCAAAGTCCAGCCCTCATCCTTATTGAAGTGCTGTGGCAGTTAAAAGAGCTACGAGTACCCACAAACGTCAATTAACTCAAACCGACGTTATAAAAAGAAAGTGCTCCAAAATTCCTCCCCAACAATGTGAGAGACTGATAAAGCCATAGAGAAAATAATTACTTCAAGTTGTTAAGGCTAAAGGCGGTTCCACAAGCTGGTGAATTATGGGGTGTATTGCATAAAATCCTGTGAAAGGTGTTTTTTCATTTGACTGTATGAAAAACACTGAGCAAATAATTAAATTCTTGTTTGTTTTTTCTTTTAAATATATGGATGCATATATTGTCTGTGTAGAAGTGATTGTAAGCCACCATTGTTTTGTTTCCTGCCTTGCAGAGGTTTACCTTCAAGCAACATTCAAACCTCTGGTGAACATATCACCAGATGCAAGGTATGTTTTCAGAAGGAATAAAATGTGTAATGTCTCGTTACGTATTTGTGAGTGAGAGGATTTTTTATTTTTTATTTTTTTGCAACTAACGTCTGCTGTGCTTGCAGCCTATTTGACGCCGTCTACACTCTCATCAAAAACAAAATTCACCGGCTGCCTGTCATCGACCCCGTTACAGGGAATGCACTTTATATTCTCACACACAAGAGGATCCTCAAGTTCCTCCAGCTCTTTGTGAGTCCAACCCATCAGCTTGCATTAGCATGCATAAGATCAACGTGGTTTATTGATTTTTTTTTAAATTTATATAGGTACAAATGTGTATTATGAACTTTAGATGGGCTTTTAAACTACATACATGATTCAATAAGAAACAAACCTTTTTTTTTCTTTTTTTAAATTTGTTTTAAGCATGAAAAAATCAGAACAACATATAGAGCAATACAGGGCACAAACTGATTAAGATTATGCAGGCTGGAGACCTTCAAGGTGCTTTCTCTAGTCTTCTCTCACTTTCACTTAATTGGCTCCCCCTAGTGGTCAACTTTTTAAAAGGAAGAAATTGGATGAATTGTTTTGACGTCTTCCTGCCTCTTCACTACGAGTGTTTGTGTGCCTCAGATGTGTGAGATGCCAAAGCCAGCTTTTATGAAACAGACTCTTGGCGAGCTGGGCATCGGAACATACCACGACATTGCTTTCATCCACCCAGACACACCCATCATCAAAGCACTCAACATCTTTGTGGAGCGGCGAGTGTCTGCTTTGCCTGTGGTGGATGACTCCGGTGAGACCACAAACTTCAATACTGGCATCGTGTACCTTTTTATCAACGCAACCTAATCAACTTTATACTGATTAGATTTTTTTTTTGTTCCTTTTCTTACAGGCAAAGTTGTGGATATTTACTCCAAGTTTGATGTGATTGTAAGTTTAAACATACCGCATTTTTTGCTTTATCAAATACTTGGGGCATACTGTTGTTTGGTTGTTTGTTGATTGTGTTGTTGTGTGTAGAACTTGGCTGCTGAGAAGACGTACAACAATCTGGACATTTCAGTGACCCAGGCTCTGAAACATCGCTCTCAGTACTTCGAAGGAGTTATGAAGTGCCATAAAATGGAAACGATGGAGACCATTGTGGACAGAATAGTCAAAGCTGAAGTAAGACACAGAGACGCTGGATTCAGTTCCTCAGGCGTAGCCCCACTGCTGATTTCCAGCTCACCTGTAACTGTGCGTTATTGCTCCAGGTGCATCGGTTGGTGGTGGTGGATGAGCGCTCCAGTATCGAGGGCATCGTTTCCCTGTCAGACATCCTTCAGGCGCTGGTGCTCAGTCCTGCAGGTATAGATGCTCAGCATTGCTAGCGTCAACTCCCCCTCTGCCCTGGACCTTGAGCTCTCTCTCCCCACCTGCCCTCTAACCCTGCCAGAGGTAGGAAACATGCCTGTTTGGCTTGCAGCTGACTATCACCTGTAGCTGGCTATGAAGAGGCATGGTGGCCATTTGTCCGGTGTCCTGTTTGTCCTGCTGGCTGCAGCATTGTGCAGCAGTGTTGTGTGGATTTTTGTGTTTGGACAGAATGCATAGATGAAAAAACTTGCAGCCGGTTCTTGAGTAAAATTAAAAGTAAATGAGAGTTTGGTGGTTTTCAGTATACAGTGGCTTTTGTTTAGAAACAAGGAATAATGTGTAAGTAGGATAAAGGGAACCTCTGTTAACAAGGATGAGTCCACGTTAGTATCGCACTGGAATTCATTGTACACGTGCGGTACTTCAGTTTTGCAAAGGGCTTTCCACTGCGGTCCAAATGTTTGCTCCCTCCAGACACTTTAATGAACTATGTATGCTCTGCTTTGCTGATGTTTGGCTTGTTTGGCCTGCAGCAAGCTCTACATTTAGTATTGATGTGCTTGAAAGAAACTAACATGCTTGCACAGTTATTATTTATTTTTTTGTGTGTGGTTTGTTCAGATTATAACCCCATCAGATAAGAGATGGTGCAAAGTACTTGAAAGAAAACGCAGCACACAGGCCTTTGTCACCTCATGAATTCTGTTTTTTAACCCAGCTCTTATTGACGTCTCTCAAGCCGTTTCGGGTTCTTCCTGAGTCTAAACAAAGTCTAGCGGGGCAGTTGTGGAGAGTTTTAAGGAGAATAAAAAAAAATGTTGTTTTGATAAAACAGGAAGTTCAGTTGGCGGGATGTTGTAACAGCAGGCAGACTTGTGCTCACACACCTGCTTTTATTGACCTTGGTGTGTAACTGCAGTTACACAGAAATGGTTGTTAAAATTCCAGTCATTGGTGTCGAGCCTAATTCCAAAAATCAAAAAGAATATAAGGATCAAATTAAAGTTTAAACTCTGCTCCTGTCTCTACTGTAATATTTATATTTACTTTCCCTGTTAATTCATAACTTGTGCTCCCCCCCCCCCCCCCCCCCCCCTTTCTCCCCCTTCTTTCTTCTGCTCCCCAGATACCTGTAAGGAGGAGAACGCGACTGAATAAGATGTGGATGTATCAGCTTAAGTGGAGATGTGGTGGGAGTAATTAAATTGAAACATTAAGGTAGGGAGTGTAAGGCTGAGTGGAGCCAGGCTGAAGGTCCCAGATACCCCTGAAACCAATGCACTAATAAAGGCTTGGAACCCAAAGAGCTAGACTGCTGAGTGAAGTGGACTTCTGCACTGAAGATTGGATTTTCTTTTCTTTCTCTCCTGAATTTCTTCTTTGTTTGTTTTGTTTTGTTTTTTAACACTGATCAGATATGCATATGTTAAGGGTGTAGACACTGATCAGCTGCAACATTAGAACCACTGATGGGCGGAGTAAATATTGAGTCCAGTGTGTTCTAATTGTGTTTTGGGTTCTGACATTTATGAGGTACATAACATTCCTTGCTTGATGATTCTGCTAAAACAAGACTGATTAGACTCTAAATTAGAAGAAACGAGAATAGGTCATAGAAAAAGTGTTTGAACGTTTTTAAAAATCTGAGTTTTCTGCATGTTATTGCAGAAAACTCGGGGGGAAAAAAGTGCCAAAGATGCTCATGAGTTGTGTACAGATGCCTCAGATTAGTGGAAAGGGGCTATAGCCATCCACCAACCACCTGAACCAGCCCATCTCTGACACCCAAGGCAAAAATTCTCAGGAACACTTCAGTAAACTGCTTCCAAACTTCCCAGATCCCAATCTAATCAGTCATCCCTGGGGAGCACAGGTATGACCTGATCCACCAGGGGTTTGCCCTCATTGTATGATACCAGATAGAACAGGACACCCAAGGGTCCTGTCTCCATTCTCAATACACTACAGCAGGTTTGGTGGTGTGACGGAGACCTGCCAACAGTATTGGGACGGTGGTTCTTATGTTGTGGCTGATTCTTGTTAACACAGATAAACTCCATTACGGTCTCTTTCTGGGGAAAGTTTGGAAACGTCAACACGGGTTCTGGTGGGTTTGGGATTCAGCGTTTCGGGTTGTGTAGTTACAATCATGCTGCTGTCATCACAAGTTTAAGTCATGTAGGAAGGCGAGCGTTAACTGGTAGCAAAACCACACGTCACCTGCAATGTGGCCACTTGACGCCATTGATTGCCAGTGCCAATACAGACCTACTCAATGCCCAATATTTATTTGTGCCTTTATTTTCTTCTCTCCACAGAAATGTATGTTGTAAAATGGGTGCAATGATGAGTATGAATGTGTAATATCGAAGCAGAGTGCAAATTGTACCTGCTTCTTCAAAGGTGTGCATTAACTTGGTTGGTTTGGGGGCGGCATAAATTTAAAACTGTGCCAGAAGCGTCAAGAAGTTCTGTTAAATCTTATTCTTGAAAGAAAATCCTAAATCATGCTGGCGCTGTTACGCAGTGCTCAGAGGGAGGATGCACGCTTCTGTCAGCCAGGAGTGCTTTAAGTCACGAGTGATCAATAAGAGTTAAGTATGGGTTTTTATAATGGTAACACCTGGTTCGGGAAAAAGCCTTTTTTAAATATTTGAAAAGGCCCTTTTTCTCCCCTCCTTCCCATTTATTTTCAGTAGTTTTGAATCTTCAAATCAGTCTGGTTATCTCAGCTGTAGCTCGACAGGACTCATCTCCATCTTCGAGTGTAAATAGGATCGTTTTGGGGAAATGTGTCACAGAAAGCTTTATTTTTATGAACACTGACGTGTTTGAAGAGAGACTGCAGGTTTCATGTTATTTTTGTAAATACATTGTGGCAATATGTGTAGGTCAGAGAAACTTTGTAACGGATCAACATGTACTGTAAATGTGCAAGCATGAGAAACTACACTTCAGCAGTATGAATGTTGTTTGTTTTTTTTTCTTTTGTTTTCTTTTACTTTTTCTATTTTTCTGGCTGCAGAAAAATAAAGAGACACTGAATGTACTGTAAGCCATGTTTTTCTTTTTTTGAGGGGGGGTGGGGGTTTTCATGCATGTTAGGGGTAAAAAGTAAGATCAAACTTACTAGGCTAGATGCTCCACGACGTGAACTCTCACAAGACGTATTGATCCTGGAGCGGTCGATATTGAAGCTCAACTCAGCTGTATTTTTATAGCATTTTTCATGCGCACATTTCTAGTGCTTCCTCTAGAAAATGTAATAATGCAAAAAATGTAAGCTTAAAAATGCTAACATCAAAATGAGACAGCGGTAAGTAAATAAATACAAACTTTCAGCACCAAAAAATGGTAAAATGTTAAAAATGCACCAATAAAACCGGATTTTAAAAAATGTATTTAGTAGGCTTTGAATGTAATTACAGGAACTGAAGAAATACAGTTCAGTGTGAAAAATAAGTTGGACAAAAGTAATAAAATGGTGTAAAAATGCTTTTCATTAAATAGTTTGAGTCCTTGCATTCTGATTTAAAAAAGAAAAAGAAAAAGATTTTAATTATGTGTGTATTTAAATATATTTAGATTAGCAGTAAAACTTGCCCCTGAGAAAATGTGTGCGCTCCGATTTGGACACAGGCCTTTGGCACTATGCAAACACATGATCACCTGACCTCTCACACATTTCACAATAGACCGATGTTAGCTCTCAAAAACACTGTTGCAATAGTGTCCCAATTTTAACACCCACACCCCTCCAGTGAACCTAAACCCTGAAGTGCAGCATTCAAAGTTGGTGTGCTACACATGAGGACGATGCACTCGCCGGCCACCTTGGATTGCTTGAACCCCCTTTTTTGCCTTTATATGGCACAGATTCGACACAGTGCTGAAAAACATTCCTGTGAGACTTTGGTCAATACTGATATTATGACTGCATTCTCCGTGAAACCTAAAGATGATTGTGTTGGGGAAAATCCTAGAAGATCAGCAGTTTCTGAAAGCAGCCCAACTGGCTCCCAACAAAGATGCCAAGCTCAAAGTCGCTGAAATCATCTTTCTTCCTCATTCTGATGCTCGGTTTGAACTTCAGCAGGGCTTTTTGATCACATCTACATGAATAAATGCATTGAGGTACTCTACTGTGTGTAGCGTTTACTTACTTGTACACTTTAAAGAAATAAGTAGTTAATAATATCAGTGTTTTGTTTCCTCCTTAAATGAGATTTAGATTCCTGTCTCAGATTATTTTTCCTCTTCTTCAGCAAATGTTTCACTGACCACAAACAGCTGAACTTCCCCAGTGCTGGAAGCTGTTGAGGTTCCAGCACTGAGGATATTTTAGAGCAGGGATAGGCAGCCATATGTGCCAGAGTGTGGCCGGAAAAGGATGACTCGTTTTAAAACACAATTTTAACACCCCAGCAGGTGGTGGTCCTCCCTGTATATGTGACCCACTTGGTAAAATCAGCTGCCATTTTTGTTGTAGATGAAGAAACTGTCTGCAGACACACATGTCACAAACCCACCGTTGCCTGTGTTGGAAGCTAGTTGAACATATGTGCTGCAGCCACAAGGTGACACTGTAGTACAAATCTCTGGCAGCACGAGGCTTCACGCCGTATTTCCACAGTTGATCCCATCCTGGTATGAACAGGACCTCCTCTGCCTCATTCAATATTTACATTCCAATAACAGATTAATGATTTCCACACTGTCTATTTTTATATATTTATTTTATTTTTTTTTTTACCTCTTTTGAGGAAGTGGCTTGATTTCAGCAGGAAGTTTTAATGGTTGCCTCTAAATGAGGCAAAGGTATCATGTGTGGATCTGATGGACTTCCAAATGAAGGGTAAAGCTGGACCAGACTTAATCCAGACAATCTGCTTTGATCTCCCAATCTCCCCTGTGATATCCAGCTCTGGGAAAGCCTCCTTTACACCTTGTAGCCCTAAAGCAGAAGAGGCACAAGGGCTTCACCATCCTCCCCCTCCTCTTCTCACTGCCCATCTTTCTCCCCTTCTTTACACACACACACACACACACACACACACACACACACACACTCATATTCACCATCCACACCCACACTGGACTCTCTTTTGAAAGTCTAGGACTTGATTTAAAATTCCTCTTCAGAGCATGTCATGCATTTTATATGCATGGCGAGTGGGAAAGAGAGAGGAGGGATTGTGGGGGTTTGTGAGGAGGGAGGTTCGGGGGATGATGGGGCGGGTGGGGGCATCCAACCCAAATGAACTTCCCTCCGCTGTTGCTTTCCTCAGGGATATATCTGTACACACCACCATCACCGCTCTCTTTTGCTCCTCGCCCCTCATTTTCTCGCGCCCACTCAACTCTTTCAACATTAGTTTTACTGCATAATGCTTTTCACAAATTCCACCGAACAGCCCGGGCGCCATAGCCTTTGAAGACAAGTGTGATCAGAACAGAGGCAGGGGGTGTACAAAAACCTGGCCGCAGGGCATTTGGGGTTTTTGCACTCGTGTTTAGCGGCGTATGGAGCAGAGGAGGGAGGCTGACAACTGCAGTGTTTGGGGACAGCTTTGATGTCTGATGGGGTGCGGCTGCTGCTTCTTCTGCACAGTCCTTCACAAGGAGACTGTCACGTTGACACAGCCAGGCTTTATGCAGAGCAGAGCTGAGCAGAGCCGTGATGGATAACAGATAATCAAAAGAGCACGGCTCTTCACCTAAAACATCTCTCTTATTCTGTTTGCTGACTGGCTCCGACACCAAGACAGGAATCAATAAGACACCAAAGCAGCATCAACTCGGACTTCTGCATCTGCTGGAGAAAAATCTGGTTTATTAGGAACAATATGATCCCACTAGCTTATCGTGGATATAGCAGTAAACAACAGAAACACAATTCACTTTTCTTTTTTTTTCCTTTTTCTTTTAAGTGCTACAGTTTTGCGATTATAGACATAAAACAGCACGGAAACCATAGTGCTACATTCATATATGCACAGAGTATAAAAATTACAGTATATTGCTGTTAAAGTCTTCCTATTCCTGCTCATAGCACCCTCAGTTTCTTACACACACACACACTCATACACACACGCTCATACACACATCACAAATCACACTGTGAGCTGTTGTAATGAAAACTGGGTGGTTTTAACGTGAGAGCTGAGACACGGTTTAGGTCTGGTAGGTCAACATTTTTTACAGATAAGCACTGAGTTATCATTGGAGCACAAGGCTGACAAAAGTTAGGCTAATATAGTACAGTAACACAAGACAAACCCTCCACAGAGAGATCACAAAACCTCACTGGACAGACTCTCAGTGAACTGAAGCAAAGTGTTTTCTCCTTTTAGCTATTATGTATTTTTTTCTTCATTTTTTTTTCCTTTTGAAATGAAAGATTAATACAAGTTAACTTTGGTTTCCAGCTCTCTAGGATACTATACTGAAAAATTGTGGCAGTTTAAGCTGTGAGTAAAATCAACAGTATAGCAGCCTTAAGCCGATGATAATACAAAACGGGGAAAAAAAATCACTTTTTAAAACATGTCTTTTTTTTTCTTGTTATAATAGCAGCCAGGAAATAACATTGTTACAGTGTGATTCCTTAGAAGAAACTGTTAAAAATCTGTGATCTGGTACCTCTGAATAAATAGAAAAATGCTACCTCTTTGTTGCTATTTCTTGCCTGTTCTGTTATAAATATGGTTACGCGTAGCAAATATGCATTGTGTTAAGACATCGTGTCTTTCATCCATGCAACGACAAAGAAGCTGAAGAGTTTTAGTGATAGAGAAATTTAAAGAAAAAAAAGAAAAGAAAAGGTTTTCCACAAGTGACTTGCTGTACAACGCAGTATTTTGGAGGCCTTGAGTGCTTCCAAATTTGCAGTCGGACTGTAACACAAGACAAACATCGATTACAAAAACAGGCTGAAAGGAACCAATCAATGATTTGGGATGCATTTGCAGGCTGGAGAGAGGGGACATCTCAGGTTTCACACATGGGACCCCCTGGCTTTGCTGCTGGCATCTCCTCAGTCATTTGCGAGAAACTGCCTTCGGTTCAGAGTTCATTCTGTGGCAATACCGAGCCACTGTGAGACCTCAGCCGGGGCGAGGTCTGAAACCTGAGCGAGCCCATTCGACAGTAAAAGCAAATTTAAAAAATAAACGATGTCGTGTGCTAATAGTACGAGCTGTGATTATTTATAATTTGTAGGGCAGTGATTTTAGAAAAGGAGTGTGTCAGGAATGCACTCTTAAAACTGTTTATGCAGCAGGAACCCTACTACAGGGTTTATTCTACTTCTGCCTCTTTCTTTTATGCTGTGCTGCACATCTCTCGTTCATCTTTCAGGCTTCTTTTGCATATTTTTTTCTAAAACACTCCACATGCAAACTATTCGATTCGGTTTGCTGCAAAAGTTTAAACCCAACACAGGAGCTTTCAAAGCGCTGCAAAAGAGCTCAGTCTTCTAGCAGCCTGTCCTCCATCACAGGCCAGGGAGAGCATAATGGAGCAGTGTGTGCTCAGAGTTCACTGGAGCGGTCTGAGGGGTGAAAGCAGTAGACACACACTGCGCTGGTTGTAGCGAGCTGTTTCCATTACACATTCTAAGCAGCTGCTGTTTGGAGGAAGTCCTTTGAAAGACGACTTGTGGGGGTAACTGGAGTCCACAGTTCAAATGGGGTCCTTCACCCTAAAGAGCCGGGGTCGAGGCTGAGGCCTCG